ACAAGTAGCTAGCGATAAATTTTGGCACATTTTATTTGTATCTGGAAAAGCATTTTGGATTTTATGCAGTAAATACGATACCAGAAGACTTCTTAGAAACGTCGGTTTACAGGTGTCTATAGTCGGTATCCAGTACCCTCTTAATAAATTGCTAAGAAATTGGATACAAAAGGAATTTATTTCTGATCTTACTTATAAATCTATCAAATCTAGTGACGGTTTATTACCTCAAGCCTATGGGATACCAAAAATTCACAAAAAAGATAACCCGTTTAGATTAATTGTTTCCACGATTAATAGTCCGTTACATCACTTTGCTGAGTTTTTAAATAAATTGATTCAAAAATTATACCATTCTCGAATAGTTATGTTAAAAATAGTGTTGATCTTGTTACCAAATTAAGAGGTCTAACACTGCAACAAGGTCACTTGCTTGTATCTTTAGATGTTATTTTGTTGTTTACTAATGTATCCATTGATCTAGCCATAAAAGCGATCAAAGTCAGATGGAAATATATTAGAAAAAACACAAAGGTTCCTTTGAAAGAATTCTTAGAGGCTATTAATTTTGTTCTAACATCAACGTTTTTCTCTTTCGATAATAAAATATACAAACAAACTTTTGGGATGCCTATGGGGTCTCCTCTATCTCTAATTATTGCTGATATTGTTATGTAAGATTTGGAGATATTCATATTGACAAAATTAAAATTCAAGCCCTCATTTTATTTTAGATATGTTGACGATATTATTCTAACAGCACCTGTGGATAGTTTAACTTCACTTTTAGACTCGTTTAACAATTACAATAATAGATTACAATTTACAATAGAAGTTCAAAATAATAATTGTTTAAGTTTTTTGGAAGTTAAGATTTTAAATTTTAATGGCAAAGTAATGTTTGATTGGTACCATAAACTTACTTTTTCAAGCAGATATTTGAATTTTTACTCCGCCCATCCGCAATCACAAAAAATTGGCAGAATTTTAAATATGGTTGACAGAATTATGCTACTTTCTGATCCTTGTTTTCAACAGAACAATTTTAATTTTATGATTGAGGTGTTTCTTATAAATAACTATCCTCTACATTTTATTTTTAAGATAATCAGGAATAGAATTAAGTTTTTAATTAATAACAGATTAAATTCAATTAATGACAATAGATTTGTTTCTGATTCTGATGATCGTGAAACTGTTGGAAAATATTTTGTTGTTCCTTATCTTCCTGATTTATCTGATTCTTTTTCAAGACTTTTTAAAAAAACGAAGGAGATTTCTTTGGCTTTTCGAAGTTTGAATAAATTGAGTAAATTCATAAAAGTTGGAAAAGATAGGTTAACACATGATCAAAATAAGGATGTTGTATATCAGATCAATTGTAATAATTGCAATATATCTTATGTTGGACAAACGAAGCGCAAATTAAAAACAAGAATTAGTGAACATAGAAATCAGATTAATAGAAATTCTGATGTTGCTTCTGTCGTTACGGAGTATCGTTTGGAGACTGGTCATGACTTCATTTGGAATGACGTTAAAATCTTGGACATGGAAAAATTTTTTTATAAGAGAACAGTTTCAGAAATGCTCCACATCAAGTTGCAAGACAATCCGATAAACGTAATGTCCGATATTGACAAGCTAAAACCTTACTTTCCCTTTTTAGAATTGTATAAATCAATAGATTAGACCGTTACTTTTATATTTAATTTGTAAACATGTTTTTCATTGTGACTTATTATGAACTGTTGATCTTTTGATCAGATAGTGGGAATATCTATATATATTTGACTGCTGTTATTGTTGCTTGTCAGTACACAGTATGTTATTGTATTTGATCGTCAAGTTCTATTGACATTATTTGTTTTATTTGGTAGGAATGTAGTGAGCTATAACGGCTTTTATTTTAGTGAGTTTTATTTTTATGTTATTTTTAATTTAACTATAATGTATACTTTGCGCTTATTCATTTTTTTTCTTATTAGATTTAAACTTTAATACATTGAAGAAGGTCCAAAATTGTTGGGACTGAAACGTTTGTTTATTTAATAAAGACTACTTTCTATACACGACCACCCTGTATTTTACTGCTCGTATCGGCCTTTTGACTTTTTTTATCATTTCACGAGCGATTGATTGATTGTCTTATGTCTTGCCTTATGTCTTGCCTATAGTCAAGAGATGGAACATAGTATGTCTCTGCATCCTTCCAAGCCAAACAGCAGAGCATGACATGCAATCGGACGGCGGTTCTCGCTTATGAGCGTATACTTCCACTACTCCGGTGCTCTCAATACTGACCGGCTCGATTTCATATATAACCGCGTCTGTAAGGCTCATTCTACAATAAGATATTAGTTTAGTCGTAAGCTGTATGTCGTAAGAAATGAACCAATCACAGACAAATTACAGAAGAATAATCGATTGTGATTGGTTCATTTCTTACGACTTACAGCTTACGACTAAACTAATATCTTATTGTAGAATGGGCCTAACAATTCAGTAAAGCTTTATGATCAATGTAATATGTTTTATGACATTCAATCTCATTTGTTTTTTTAGTACTACACACATAAATAAAAAAAACTTATTACAACATCTATGTACACACGTGTACGTAGAATAAACGTACACTGTTCTGTGGAGTAGTGCAGCGATCATGCGTAATTGATAATGTGTAATTGTTTATAAAAAAATAAAGACACATAATAACATAAAAGTTTTTAACTTTTCTATCTTTTTACTTATAAAAACTCACTTTGACTAACATAATACNAAATATTGTGTGCATAAAACATTGTGTGTATATAAAGCAAATATATATCATAAATCAAAAAATAGTGCTAGAAAATTCTATTTCATTATATGTATTTATTTTTTTTAACATAACGCACTGTGATTGCAGCAGTATTATACAGAAAACTGTATATTTATTATACGCAGATGTGTACATAAATGTTATAATAATTTTTTATTTAATTTGCATATATTACTACAAAAAAAGTATGAAGTGAATGTCATTAAACTTTTACATTGCTTAGAAAGTTTCACATATACTGAAATTCTGTCTAGACGCGATAACAGTAATCGGCTATTAAAATCTACAAAAAAGAAACAAATAAACACAATATAGCGATTAGTCCGTTTTACTGTAAAGGACAGACAAAATGAAGAGATACAAGTACATCTTTTTCTCCCTCTCTCTTTTTTTCTTTCTTTTTGATTTTATTTTTTATTCTGCACTTTATATTTAGTATATTTATCTTTTTATTATATTTTTATTATATTAGGGGAACCGAAAAGTAATGTCGTTTCTGCGCATGTCAATATTCGTTTATCATTTATAAGCTCATTGTGTACTTCAAAGTCGTGCCAAAGACATTTTAAGGTTAGAGTGACTTGTTTACTCGTAAATAATTAAATCTTAAATTTTTTTGCAATTTATTGTGAAATGGCCAGCCAAATACCAGAAGAGATACATATCCGGCATTGTATGCTTTTTGAGTTTCACAAGGGTAGTAACGCAACAGTTGCTACCAAAAACATTTGCGATGTTTATCCAAGTGCATTAGACGTTTGTAAATGCCAAAGATGGTTTTCTAAGGTCAAATCCGGTAATTTTGATCTTTTCAACTCGTATCGATCAGGAAGACTAACAACTTTAGACAATAACATGTTAAGGGCGGAAGTGGAAGCAAATCCGTGTCAGACAATCGAGGAACTGTCAAACACTTTTAACCAACCTTTATCGACCATCCAAGAACATTTGCAGCAGATTGGTAAAGTAAGCAGAGCAGGTGTTTGGGTCCCGCATAATCTGTCCGAAGAAAACAAAGCTAACCGGTCTATCACATGCAACTTATTGCTTCAACGGCACAATACAGAAGGGGTTTTTTGATCGCTTGATCACTGGAGATGAAAAATGGGTCCTCTATGATAATCCAAAACGCAAAAGGCAGTGGCTCTCTCCGAATGAATTGCCACGAAGTACAGCTAAGCCAGGTTTACACCCCAAAAAGGCGCTTTTGTGTGTTTGGTGGAGTATTCGCGGAGTCGTTCATTTTGAAGTGCTGAAACCTGGACAAACTGTGAATGCAGACATTTACTGTGAACAATTAGATCGAGTAAATCAATCTTTAATTAAAAAGTGTCCAGCGATTGTCAACAGAAACGGTGTTATTCTGCAAGACGATAATGCAAGACCGCACTGCACAAGACAAACCCTGGAAAAATATTAATGAATTGGGGTGAAAAGTATTGCCTCACCCACTATACTCGCCCGATATTGCGCCATCGGATTTTCATTTATTCCGATCGCTACAACTTTTTCTAAGTGGCAAAAACTGAAAATTTAAATGATGTCCAAAATGCCATCTCTAGATATTTTGCTCAAAACCCAATTGATTTTTATCAATCCGGCATTAAAAATTTGCACACTAGATGGCAAAAAGTTGTTTATAACAAAGGTGATTACATCATTAATTAAAAATAAAAATTTCTTAAAAATTTATCTGTTTGAATTTAATGTAAAAAAAACGACATTACTTTTTGGTTTCCCTAATATATTATTTATTATATATTCATTACATATATTTATAGAAAAATTATATATAATACATTTATTATATATTTGTAATTTTATTTGTATTTATTGTATTTGTATTTGTTACTTGATTATATTATATATTATACATTACTTATTTTATATGTACTTCTTTTATTATCTTGTATTTGTCTTTTTTTTGTATCTTTATTTTTTGTATTTTGTATTTTTTACTTTTTTTCTATATAATTGTTTTCTGTTTACATTCTTTTTTAAAATTCTTGTAACCTTCATATACAGGGTGACCAATGGGAATGTGTTGAAAGTAAATAGTTATATATCCCCTTCTCGATTTCGGTAACTGTTTTACCGACTAGGGTCCGCTACCTAAGACCCGTCAATTTCATTTGAACCGTCGTATAAACCAATTTGCGAGTTATAGGATGGACGCGCTAGGCATCGAAGAAAAAGTGTTTTTCATCGAGTGCTTCTATAGTAGAGGCAAAAACTATAGTCAGGCGTATCGTGGATTCCGTAGTAAATATGGATCTAAAAAAGTTTCAAGCGAAACAATACTCAGAAGGTATGTTTTTGATACTTTTTACCCACGCTCCCTCTCCCTGGAATCACGTCATTATTCCAATGTTGGTTAGGTGAGATTTTATTTTTATTTGTCGATATTTTTTGGCAGGATTATTGATAATTTTGGTATGTATGGCACTTTGAACGATCGTATACATGATTTACCTGGCCCATCTCGTACAGTTACAACGGACGAAACAATTGATGACGTTAGAAATTATTTTGACAAAAATCCAAACACCTCGATTAGGAAAGCTGCTCAGGTTTTGGATTTAAAGCGAGAAACTCTCCGAAAAATAATGAAAGACGTCATTATAAACTACATCCCTACAAAATCACTACACATCAATTGCTGACGGAGAAAGCGATGGAAAAACGAGTTGAGTTTTGTAAAGTGATAACCAATATGTTTGAAAGTAGGGAACTCGATGAAAAACAAATAATATTTACGGATGAAGTTCACTTTTGGTTAAACGGATATGTCAACAAACAAAATTATCGGTTTTGGGGACAGGAAAATCCAAACGTGTCTATTGCCGTTCCTCTTCACCCTCAAAAGGTCTCCGCGTGGGCTGCAATTTCTGTAAAAGGGGTCTACCTGTAATTTTTTGAAGGAACTGTGACTAGTCAAAGTTATAAAGAAATATTGGAGACTAAATTCTTTCCCCATGCAAAGAAACGCGGATTAGTTAAGAACTTCCATTTTATGCAGGATGGCGCGACTCCACATCGTACACGCGAAGTCTTCGAATCGATACATAAAGTTGTAACAATGCAAATCGTTACGGCCGGGACCGACCATCCGTCCCGGCCAAAAACGCGGCGCTTTGCGCCAAATAATAACTTGAAACAAGCGTATATTAAAATATACGCCGACGGCCTGCGCGCCGCCCGCACCGCGCGTTTCCCCGCG